TCGATATTATAAAACGTTTATTTGTGTAACCGTGCACGCGGTACGTTTGTTCGCGGGTCGATATAAATCAAATAAAAAAATGGTTACTCATATATATTATTACGTAATATCACCTAAATTTTCGTTACTTATCCGGTATGATATCGTGTTCGATCGTTCTCAGTTTTCCGGCGCGCAGAGATTTTCTGACCAGTAACAGTGACCGTATAACGTTAACTCATGTTTTTTCTAAACCGTATCCAGTCGGTTTACAGGATTGTGTTACGGGTGATAAGCGGCGACATTTCGGGTTAAATGATTTATGATATCCGGTCTACGCGTGTTGACTCACGGTGCACCGTTTTCAGCAAAACATGCCGTAAAAAACTATCGCTCGTCGCGCAACCATATGGTATCTATATTTTCATTTACGACTGATGCGTACTGTATTATGGTGATGTCCAAAGACGTAGGCTTTAAGAGTTTAAATGGCCTTGGTAAAGTTTTGGTATCCCGGTAAAAATAAAAAGCTAATAAAAATCAATAAATGACCTCTTTAATCCACCAACTAGATAAAATCTCCAATCATAATAGATGCTACACTCGATATACTGGAGCGAGATTTCTGGTAAAAAAGTGGTTCACAGACACAAAACAAAAAAGAAAACAAACACCAATAGATCCTCCGCCAAAAAAATACACAAAACGACGCTAAATTTATCAATACGTTGACACAGACAACTTTGGTACGGGCAGCTGCCCGCCCTGTCCTTACGCTAGAACTGCTACTAGCATCGAAGGGGTCAACGTTTTACTTAAGCCTTAGAAATTCACCACCTAAGTATTCCAAATGAACAAACTTTTAGATCGGTTTTTTACGTACAGCTGAAACGTTATTAGAAAGATATTAAAATATCGTAGAAAATCTTTCGCTAACAATAATCGAATGTCTGACCTTAGCTACGCGTGAAAACCGAAAAACAGCTCAATTTTATAATTCTTAACCCAATTGAGGCACGCGCGAAGGGGTCGACTATTGGCATACCGGAAATTTACAAAAATCGTTTCTACAACGTACACCTAACGAAATTCCGAGCCGGCGACACTGCATCGTTGAAGTTCGCAAAAACAAGGACCGCCCTGAACCGCGCGGCCAATGATATGACACGTAATATTATTTGTGTTATTCGGACGTTGTCTATACGTTGTCATATGTTGTTAAATGCGTTGTTCGAGGCCGACTGTGTATGTTTTCGGGGTTTATGTCGGTTGCACAAATAATACTGCGTTGTGATAACGCGTTACGTGTGTCGTGCCGTTTAACCGTGTAGCCCGCTGCATGTCGGAATACGTTTTGTTACGTTCGTATTATGCAGTGCACTGTACCGGAAAGTGCATTATCCGGAGCTATTCGCAGGCGTAAGTACGTTTCGAATGTAAGTAGAGTACGTAACATTGTTATTGATGATTACAATGCGTTCTGTTTTCTACATCACGCGATCGATTATTGTTGTCTGCGGGCCGTGTGCCGAACATCAATAGACAAATGGAGGAGGTTCTGCGCAGAGTCGCGAAGAATGAGGGGATGATCGAAAACTTATCGATGAAATATCAAAACATAATTATGTATATATATATGTGCGAATCGCTTTTTAATCGTTATTAATAAAAACTAAATACTCAGTTTTATCACTCGGATCGGCCGGATAGGCGTGCACATCACGAACGGCACTCGATAGAAATTCACGGCAGAGTGCAAACGTTTTCACGATTCACAAAACCGCGGGCGACTTTTCCCCCGCATTCTCAACAAATATCCGACTGTTGTTTTGTTACCACAACCACTATTTAAGTGATATTGATGATTTTAACAAATATTAGAATACCGTAAAAATATGCTGTCTAAACATGACCGGAGCCGGTGGCGATAGCCATTAAATTGTGAAGACTTTATAGATAATAAACATTACTGACAGGGTTACTGTTATCGATTCTCATGCATATATACATAAATAAATCGATGAAAACGTCGCCTGGAATATTCTGATATGTGTATTAAACGAAAACTTTGTGATTTTACTTGACGATGGTTTTTTTAACGCGGGACCGGGCGTACAATATACATACCACGATATACCAGGCGACGCATTTATTTATTCATTCATTCATTTACGAGTGTAAACCAATTCCATAATTTTGTTTTTAATTTATTGTTTTATCAAACCTTATAGTTTTACGCTCTCATTTGCTCTTATTTCGATTGTTAAAATAATGGCACACCTATTATTACACATTATACCATAAGTAATTGGTGGGTAGGTAGGTATACACTAGCGTATTCATTTTTTGTCTGCCGTGTACGGGTAATTTCACCCTTTAGAAGAATCCTCGTGGATGTAAATTCATCCAACCACTCTCCCCGAATTCCGACACTGGGTAGTAATCACATATGTGTTATGGAAATTTTTATATAAATATCATTTTTTGAAATTAATCAGACAATAGTAATATTGTTAAATATAAATTAAAATGATTTATTAGCAAACTGCTGTTAACTACGAAAATTGTATTTTTCACTGCCTACGGCACTTATTTTTTTTTTGAAAATAATTATTTTAATATAATAAGTATTATACATATAAGTATTAGGTATTTTAGTATTCATATAATACGATATGCATTTGTAGTTAGTATAGAAAATAAAAATTAACAAAAAAAAAATAAAAAAAATTGTTGCTCAGGTATTTAAATAATACTGTTAATCTATGTAGTTGCTACAGTATATATAGTTTCACTAGGTACCTATATTACAAAGTTTCAAGCTTAGACTATGCGTGTGTGGGTATGATAGAATAATGTAACTACTTATAAAGTAACTTTTGAACCGCATCGCTATTCGTTTCTTTTTCGAGAAGTATTACTACCGTGAGTAGGTACCTGACCGCGACTCCATTAATATTGTAAGTGGATGTATACTGTTTAGAGGAATAGTTTTCGAAATCGATAAAAAAACACGTAGGCAAAGAATAATCTCTAAACATAAGATGTGTTTAACGGAACTGTGTAGAACGTACTCGTTCGATTAATGATCATCATTATTATACTTTCAAATTTATCGTTTCGTTTATTGCAATTATTGCATTTACTTATCACGATCATTTTATTGTATATTTCTACTCGACTACTTTTAGATTCTAAGTGAAGCGAAGATGGTTCTATAAAGATGTTTATTAATTTTTATCTGTGCCAAACTCTTCTACCAGAAGACTTGCTTGGATTTCTACGTGTAGCATTTTTTTCTGAAAGACAATCAGAGTGAAGGGGTGCTTTAGGAAGGTCGTTATTGGATTTTTTCAAGAGCTTTCTCATCAAAAGGGAAACTCCACCCCCCCCAAAAAAAAACTGGAAAAATGACGAAATATAATAAATATAATATTATGATTTTTTTTTCTGTAGACTACTTTTCTACCAGCAATTTCGATCCAACTTGTATTAAGAGCAATGTTTCTTAAAAGAAACTTCAATAGAGAAGTATTAACGTGAGGTCATTTTTTTGATTTTCCCAAGGGTTTTCCCAAAAAATGTGAATAACTGGGAAAATCGATACAACATTTAACACATTTTATAATGGAAAATGTATAAAGCCTGTTTAATTATTTAACTACAAAATTGCATATATAATGTTGACAAAGCATGAAAACAACTAAACTCAGCTCAGAATCGTTTTTTCGTGAGCTATGGTTTATCGTTGCTTACGGATACACATTGAAAATAGAACTTCTTAAAATACTTCTTCCATATTGTGATGGACAATGATGGAACGGCAAAACAAACAGTATGTCAGACATATCATCGGACAACTTCAAAATCCATTAAAGACAACAACGTGAATAACTCAATTTCCTCAGAGAAGTTATTATAATGATAATTCAAAGTTATTAATTTTTAATTTTATCATTAATTATAATTGAATTATTATTTAAAATCATCGATCTCTATTCGATTTATGTAGGTACATACAAATCGATACACGGATCATCATAAATTGTACGTTTACTAGTAAAAAAAAATAGTGTTTATTTTATTTTTTAGTGAATACCCAGCAATTTTTCTGAAAGAAAATCCGACTGAGATGGTATTTTGAGGAACTTTTTTATTATCCCGGAAATTTTTCAAATAAGTGTGAAAACCGGGTAAAAACTTAGGAAAAACCGGAAAATAGGTAAGGTCTTAAACAAATATTATAAAAGAATTCTGATTTTACAAAAGGCATAATTAATTATTTTATCATAATATTTTGATACATAAATTGTTGAAAAAACAACACTATTAACCGAACATAGAAAAGCATCTATTTCCATTAGCAATGATAAATCGTTGCGTAGGGATATACATTAAATTTCCCACCTAAACTCCAACTTCTTATTTACAACGGTGGCTCACCCACATAAGATTGTATGTCCGTGTTTTGATTTTTCTATATTTGCGAAATGAATGTAGCGGGTGTTTTATCATGTGTCTAACGATACCTCCGAATTGCTAACTATACTCGTATGGTGTCTGCTGGTGTTTATTAAACAGTCCCCTGGTTTTATCGAAAATTACGGGTCTTCTCGTTCTCATCAATAAGTGTTACAAATAATTAGTGGCGTACACCGTGAATGGTAGGGTTAGGTTTTAAATTTCCACTCGTTGGCATAGAAATGTAAACAAAATCTACAAATAATTTTATATCGAAACGCACGTATTTCAGCCAAGTCACGAGTAAAATCTTGATGTATCATATGGAAATCGGTTGTTTTTAATTTTAAAATATCCGACTTTTAAATAAGTAACTCCCATAAAGTCGAGTCGCACGGATAAAACGATTTTACAATTGATTTTTTTTTCCAAGTCCCCTCCCACAGAATATTCCCGGGCACAGCACGGCGAATGACGATCAAANTTTTTAATTTTCACAGACAATCTTTTTATTTTTCGTAAGAACGCAACACAACATTTAAAGTTCAGAAATCGTTAAGATGGCAAACCCGACGACGATAACTAGAAACGCGGCTCTCCTCGGTACATCTTTCGCCGAACATTATTACGCCGTGATGCGTACTACACCGGAGCACGCGGACAAATTCTACGACGATTCCGGTGAGTACCAGACGGTGTACGAGGATTGCACTGCCGTCATAGCCAGGACCCGGCAGCAGGTGCAAGAGGTGTTGTCGCGACCCATGGCGGCGTCCAAGTTAACCGTTCAATCGATTTTTTCCGTACCATATGGTGGATCGGTTGAACGCCTTCTGGTTATCGTGACTGGTCAATCGTTCGTGCACGTATTCGTCGCGGAGTACAGACCGAAACGGTTACTTAATTACGTCATTGTAACGTCTCTAGTTCAATATGTTCACGCCGGACAAGCCGGCGAAGGCCCGAATCAGAAAACGACTCTCGATACAGGCGACTGTCGAATTGGCATCAGCAACGATCGCACACCGACGGCTTGTTTAAAAGCGAAGAAACAAGTAGTATCTTCGCAATATTTAACTAACTACCATAACCCGTTTCCCAATACCGTGACCGATAACGTGCAACCCGATATCATCATCGATAATGCACTTTTCAGGTTTATTAATAACATAACAAATCCCGCCAAAATCACTATCTCTCACGAACCCCTTCCCGCTGCAGCAACAGATAACACATCGACAGCAGATTCAAAAGCGAACAAACACGTACGAATTACCTCCGATAAAGCTACAAACCACGAAACCCTTATCGATAACTTTAAAGATAGCACGCAACACGGCATCGTCACTGAAATCCCACCCATCATATTTTTAAAATGTGAATCCAATCCCATAGAAACCAAAACCCCCAAAGAACCCTCACCTCAGAATACGGCAAGCATAAATGTAAATCAAAATTTAGTCACGGAGAACCCACCTTCTTCAACCTTCAACCGCTTACCCAGTCCATCCCAAATGTCTACTCCCCGTGAACCCTCCTTGAATTCCCCCCCCAAAAACAATCATCTAAAATTCGGCACTGAAAATTCGCAGATCCAAATATTAAAACACGTCCCACCTCCAACTGAAATAAAACCCTCTCGTAAACCTCTTCCTTCAATCCTCGCCACTTATTATTCACAACTCGATTTGACCGACAAAAACTCACATGTTCCAATCTTAAACCGCGAACCCAATTCCACCGAAGTATCAACTCTTCACGAAACATCTACTCCGAATACGGCTAGCATTAATTTACATCAAAATTTAGTCACGCCAAACCCACCTACTACAACCTTAAACCGCTTACCAAGTCCTTCCCAAATGTCTACTTCCCGTGAAAACTCTACGAATGCCTTCACGAAAAAAAGTCATCAAAATTTCGCCACCAGAAATACGCAGATCAAAATATCAAACCACGTCTCAACTCCTCCGGAATTAAAATCCTCCCGCAAACCTCTCGCTTCAATCATCGCCTATTATAATTCAAAACACGGTTTGGCCGAAAAAAACTCACCTGGTCAAATTTTAACTCGCACACCCAAGTCCACCGACGCGTCAACTGCTCAAGAATCATCTACTCCGAATACGGCTAGAAGAAATGTAAGTCAAAATATAACCACGCAAAACCCACCTACTACAAACTTTATACGCGTACCAATTCCTTCCGACATTACCGAATCCCGCGAACCTCACGCCAATGCCACCACCCAAAACAATCATCCAAATTCCGTAACCGGAAATTCGCAGATTGAAATAATAAAACGCGTCCCAAGACCACCTGAAATTAAATCCTCCCGCAAACCACTTTCCTCAATCATCGATTTTTATAATTCAAAAGGTTTAGCCGAAAAATGATCACCTGTCAAAATTTTAAACGGCGTACCCAATTCCACTGATGTATCAGCCCCTCGCGGACCCTCAACTCCCAATACAACTATCAATAATATGAAT